GCCAGCTGCTGGTTTCCGGCTACCATAGGATTCTGGTTTTTCCGGTGACGGTACTGGTGCTGTGAAGTGTTTGCAATCTGGAATGTGTCTCCCAACCCCCTTGCACTCATTGCAGTATTCTGGTAGCCCTTCGTAAATGGCAGTGAGGAGGAGGGGAGTATCTCCATTCTTAACATAGAATTTGGGGCTGGGTGGTTTATAAATATCTACTTCAACACAAATTCTAGCAATAGAGGGGCGGCCAAAGCATTCAGTTGTGGCATCAAGTTTGATGGGTTTGAACTGGCTTTGGGTAGGTGTTCAGTTGAAGTGTCTGGAAAAAGGTTTGAGTAAGTGGTGTTTATGAAAATTCTGTCTAGTCTTCTCCACAACCTGCCCAGGGATCTAACACCAAACCAGGTGAAGGGGCTTCCAGAGAAGGGAGGGGAGATGAGGCAGCTGTTGATAATGCAGTGATCAAAGTCCTGAATACTATTAAGGCAAGGCCTGCTATTGCCTTTGTGATGATCAAGGGAAGAGATGCTATTGAAGTCACCACCAATAATCCAGGGGGAATTAGTGGATTGGCTAGTTGTATGCAGATCATCCCACAGCACCAGTACCGTCACCAGAAAAACCAGAATCCTATGGCAGCCGGAAACCAGCAGCTGGCATCCATGAATCTGCCCCCAAAAACCAACCACAACCAACTAAAAACCAAACACATCCATCCAAAACCCAGATACCCCACACCTATAGACCCAAAAATAACCAAGCCAAAACCTCAAACAGCAAAGGCCCCACACTTGAAGCACTACCCAGAAAGCCAACCACTTCCAAACAAACTAACACCCCATTAACCACAAACAACCCATTCACAATCCTACAGACAGAAGATTACCAAAAAAACACCCCACAACCCTGAAACACTCCACCCTACTACCTCTGCTACCCCCATCACCCTAGATACTGCTCCCACACTTAATTCCCATCATAACACCACAGCACCAACACAAATTGAGAACCCCCAAAACCAAGAGGATTGGGAAACTCTAGTGCATAAGGAAATCTTTGACCTTTGCCTTCTCTCCTGGACAGAGAACCAATCCAACCTGCTGCCCTCCTCCAGCCTGGTTCAAGAACCTGAGCTTACCTTCTCCAAGGATGACCTACATTTGGAAACAGAAAATCTCAGCTTAACTCCCATTTATATCCCAGTAAAGGGCTAGTTTTCTCCCCGAGTGTCGTATCTCTCGAGGAGTGGACGAAGGGAATTAGTTTAATTACTCTAACTAGGCGAAGGTTCGGATTGGTTTATGAAAGTCTTCTCGGAGCGATTGTAAAAAAGGAGCGGGTTAAAAATAATAAATTAAGTTTACATAGTATAAGTATAGATCTGGACCTAGGGTCTGGACATCATTCNGATCTATTTTATCATTAACAATTGGAATAATAATATTTCTATTACTACTCATCCATTTCTAGATTTGTACTTAATCCGTTATACTTGAATATCATAGCCTTTTGGCATACAATATTTTCTCAATAAATGGCCAATTAAATCTTACGAGTTTAATTAACCAAATAAGGCAAGAATAATAGATTAACCGTTCCAACATTAATTTAACATAAAAATAAACAACCAAACTAGTCCAGACCCAGAGATCCGGACCCTAACTCATACTATGCAAACATAAATTAAAACATCATTTTTTTAAATAAAGAAAACTTACAACTTCCGTAAAAGCGGAACAGAACTGATCGGGAGTAGAATTCCTCCAAAAAAATTACTCTAAAACTACTAAAATGCTAAACTAATACTTAGAATTGGAATATAAAGCTCAAATCCCGAGAAAGGGGATGAAAGTGATATGTTGAATGGGGAGAATCGCGCTGTATTTATAGGACAGAGGCCGAGGCGTCCAAGTCAAAGCATCCAGATCCAAATTGTCCAAGGTTGGACGCCTTACGCGGCCCGTCCATTCGCTGCTTGCCACGTGTCTTCCTTGATCTGCAATCCAGCCCAGGCGTCCAACTTGGCCAAGCGTCCAAGTTGGACGCCTTGAGGCCTTGGTCCATTGGGCTTCGCGGCTCTTACGAGATCTTGGCCCAATTTCACTGATTTTCGGCTCGAATGTCGATTTTATCTTCTCGGAAGCTCGTTCAAGCCCGAAACTTGATCCTTTGATTACCTATTCCCTTTTTCTCAAGCATTTGAACTTAAAATGGATAATTTATGATGATTTTATGTGGAATCCCATTTTATGACTCTTAGAACAAAAATGAGAGTTTTATGCATCAGAATCACTTTTTATGAGATGATTAAATATTATTTATGTGCAATAATGTTTAGAATATGATGTAAATGATAAGAACGAAATGGAGTTATCAATATATATATATATATATATATATATATATATATAAAAGGAAAATATTATTAAAATACAAAATAGAAGCGAAAAGGGGTGGCTCGGGCCCCAACAAAAGAGCCAAAACAAAGAAACTCCAATCCAATACGAGATACACAGAAAGCACTAAAACAACAAACCACGTCCACTCCAACATCGAAGCTTTCACAAAAGGACATCTTGGGCAGCTTGGATAGAGATCCAACATAGTTCCCAAACAAGAAGCAACCTCCAAAGCTGGTCTGGTCTTAGAATGAGTGATATGCAATGTATTACCATGAACTGCTGACCCCCTAACCCATATGCCTGCTCAAAAAACAGATAAACCAAAGACTTCCACCAATACAGATGACAATGAAATGATAAAAATAGGATAATCCCTTATCAAAATAAGCAGAAGATCAAAACCCCCATTGATTGTCCGAGTCCAAAGAAAACTCTGATCGACTTGGAGAGGGGATCCGACGTCGCCTATCAAGTCTAAGACTCCTTCTAGGAGCAGGGGGGCTTGAACCGCTAGCACATCCCCTCTCAAAAATGATCCGCCCCTGATCATTATTACGAATAAGAGCAGCTGTAAGTCCCTTTGGACCTCCCCATCGATTTAGGTGGTCATCTGGCTCGATACCATCATCCGAGTACCATTCTCTCCAAGGCTCCGGGTCCGGGTCAAACTCAGCACTATCTCTAAAGAACAATTGAAAGTCCGGGTTGTCCTCCTTTCTAAAAATCTCTGAATCTGATAGGCATGCTCTAGGGGCTGATTGACTTTGATCCTCCTCCTCAGGGAAAACAACCTGTAAAGGTTCAAAACTGTGTATAGCAGCTAGAGAGTTTAAGGACCCTGTTTCCAAAGAAGTTTGAAGCTGAGAACAAGATCTTGGTGCATTATCCATAGGAACTGAATTCGAAGTGTCCTCTTTTGTAACAGGAGATGTACCCAATGCATAATTCTCATCACTAGCCTTAGGTTTCAAGGAGTAAAGGGAACAGAAATGTCGAAACAAAAGAAGCCAAATTAGACTACTAAAACCTCCAGGAAAGGAAAACAAATTCGCAGGGGTGATATTAGAGCAGGTTTTAGGAAGTGAATCCGAAGTCACATAAGGCCTGGGGTAAAGGACCAAAGCATTAACATCCTGACTAGAATCTTTGGGAGAACCTATAACTGATTTATTCAATCCCGAAGCCTCTTCTGCAAATGAGGAATGATGACTATTCCCAGTGTTTGCTGCCAAGATGGGATTTTCCACCTTATTCTTGCCCTTAATCTTAGATAAGAAAGAGGATAGACAGTTGAACAAGTGAGAAATGCCATCCCTCCTATCAATAGGGAAGAAAATTGAGCAGATACC